GTACGTACACACACACACACACACACACACACACACACACACACACAATCACACACACAGAGACAGACAGACAGACACACACATATATTATTTTACCATTCTAAAATGAAAATGTATTTCTTTGCTGCCTGCCTATCTCTTTTTCTTCCTTGTCCTTTGTTTTCTACCTACCATGTTTCACAATGAGGAGCTTCCTTATAAAGAAACTTACTTGTAGAGATTGAAGAGGTCGTGGTGGGAACTGCAATGGAAAAATAATCAGTATCACTATACAGTCCTAAGAGTTCCAGAGAAATGAAAACAGTAGTTTAAAAACCCACCAACATTCACTTCAAGATTTTTGTCCAAGACACTAGGGGCACCTTCCATCAGTGCACCAGCCCCAAAGATTTACAACACTTGCTTCAGACTCCCAGCTGTGACCTTGGGATTCAGGAACATTTTCATCATGGTGAGCACATCAGTTACACCAGTATCTGAGGTTCCCCCCATGACAGGAGAGAGCAACATGTAGTATTTCAAAGCTTTCTGAGTTCAGCATGATAAAGCCATGCAGAAGCATAGTTATAAACAGTTATGAGAAGCCAAATGTCTATGCAATCTATCTGTAAAACACCTTCAAGGAGAAAAATATTAGATGTGCATCCTCGTTGGAACTTTACCAGTATTACAGAATACATACAAATATGATAATATTATGCATATTCAGGGAGGCAGAAATCACTCCTCCCACTGAAGTCTTACGTGTCGGAGAGACCTAGGATGATAGCCACGTGGCTATCCTTGGGCAGGGATGCTGAGAGTATCATTACATTAACTCTTAATCCATGAGTGGCTTGGTATCACCTGTTTAAAAAGCAGCCATAAAGATGCTCTGTGCACTCTTTAATAACAGTTTCAGCCTTCTGAGGCTTGGTGGGGCAGGTGTGGAACCAGCTTACACAGGAATAAGGGACTTAAAATGCTCCTTCCTCCCATGTAAACGACAGTCAGGATTTGTTCCTATTAATAATAGATGTAGCTATTATTTTATTATTAAATGTACAAAAATCAAGTTAAAAATCAATTGGCATTCAGTATATACAGTACTTTTAAAATGTCAACTGAATTTAAATTAGAAGGTGGAAATGTATCTGGACAAAATGTATAATGTTTCAAAAAAGAGTGATTTTATTCAGGTAATACCATATTCCATAGAATTTTGTGACAAATTCTGGAAGGCTAAAGAAAGTTGAAACTATTAAATGAATCTCTGCTGTTAAGGCAATTCCTATAGCTTATAGTTATTGTTAAATTCTTACCTGTTGTGGTCTCTGTTGTAGTAGTTGAAGTGGTTGTCGATGTGGTGGTGGTGATGGTGGTGGTTGTAAGGGGTGTAGTGGTTGTTGGGATTGTGGAACAGCCTGCAAGAAAAAGCTTCATTGTGAAGTTGTTCTTCTAAGAAATGATCAAGAGCAACAACATGCCAAAACATTTATGAAAGTGCCTATGGTAAATCTGATATTTTTGAGTGTGTGAGAGGTGCACCTCTATACCTGAAGCTAAACCATACAAACCTCATTAATTTATATTTGCATTTAGGAGGAAGCTAAGACATATCTAATAAAGCCCTATGTAGGTGAGGTACATCAACTAATTAGCAAGAATAAAAATTTCATTTAGACACAGGGTTACTAAAATACTTCCTAATACAGTAGTGGGTCTAAATAATAATGAACCTGTTATAAAATACCACATATTCTTGAGGGTTAAGTGGCTTGAGCTGAAAATTAATAGTTAGGATATTGGGGAGGGGGCATTGTTTTAACAACACCGAAAGAAAGGGGCAGTTGTTACACTTTGATCTTAAATCAGCCTAATTAATTTATTTGTTCTATCCTTAGATGTGTGAGTGATGACTGTGAGGTTACAAAGTATTACCTAATTTTTCTTTTGTGCAATCCTGGCTAGAATTGCAAAGAATCATTCAAAATCATTACTAAATCTCTGGTGGAGACAGATGAAAGAGATACGTGGCATTCCTTTTCTTTCCCTTTCCAGTTTGCAGAAAGAATAAAATGCAATTTACCTGGTTTAGGTTTGCACACTTTTTTTGGTGAGATGCAGATACTAAAAGAAAAATAATTCAGTCAAAATTAACATTTTTGCAAACCAACAGCAGCCCGTGCAGTAATTTCTCATGAATCCCTCCAATTAATTTATAGCAGGGCTAGGAGTCTAAAAACTTAAAAACAATTTTATCACTCAAACTTCACCTCATGACACTGGATATTTCTTTGGCAGTTGTTTGCTCCAATATTGACAATTGCTATTTCCTCCCGACACAACTACCGGCTTTCCTTCCTCCAAACACTCCTCCTTGAGATAATTAATTACCCTCCATTGGGAGTAGAGAAAATATAATATGACTAACAGCCACTGCTCTCTTAAACTGTGTTGCTCCATCTCTGCTGCACAGCATCCTTATATCTCTACAAATTACTGATCAGGGGTATACTGAGGAGGGCTGAGGGAACATGGCCAGAAACATTTGTGCTCCAGAGACCCCCCAGCTGGTTCTATCTGGCAAAAATTAGAACAGCGTAAGGGCTGCGCTAAGTGTAATTTCCAGATATGACATATTTAAAGTAATATTTAATGCCATTATCAAAAGATTTATTAATGGGCCATCATCAACGTGAAATACAGTCAATTTGAAAACATGAGTTAAAAATAGTTGCAGGTACTACATCTGCTCTTGAGTTTTCCTGTCAATTTTTGCAGTTTTACAGCCACATGTTCCTATTAAAAAAAAAAATCTCTCCTCTGCTGTTGCATGAAAGACATACATGAACAACAGGTGCAACTGACTTTAGTGAATAATTGAAAATGACTCTACACAATGTCCTGTTAAATTCACAATGTGAATAAGTTGAAAAAAAATATAGGTACTTTTATTTCTCTAGTCTCTCCCAGTTATAGCATTCTGTGGAATTACTTCTAACAATTGCAGGTAAAAAAATGCACAGAAAGAAATGTGAGCAGAAATAGATGGTGTTCCTTTGAAATCCAACTGTATTGTAACTGTGATGTTCCCCTCACCCACTATTTTTGTAAGGCAAGATCTTCATCTGGGGTAAATCAGCATTTATGTGGAGAAGGGCCAATTCATACCGAGGTTCTTGCAGGTAATCTGTAATATTACAGCCTTCATTCAGGAAAACATGACATGGTCTGTTCACAAGAGCAGTTAAGCGTGTGCTGAAGTCCCATTGAGGTCAATGGGATTTAAGCAGGTACGTAAATGATTTCCTGAATCAAGGTCTAAATATGCATTGCTCCATCACTTTTGTATTTCCACATACCATTTCTGACAATCGTGTTCTGGGGGCATTTCTGTGCCATTTTCATAACGAGTGTCATTTTCATAACAGCCACAGTAAGATACACATTCGTGGAGGTCTTCATCAAAAAAGGGCTTTTCGTCAGGGCATCTGGGGTAGCAACCTGTTGACCACAAATGGTCCATGTTGTAATACTAATAAAAACTGTTAACTTAGTAATTACATTCTCACTGGGGGCCTGATCAAAGGCCCATTGAAGTATGAAAAGACTCCTTCTGATTGTAGCTGAGGCCCTGGATGATGAACACTTCCAAAAGTGGTGAGTTATTCATTGTAAATCCTGAATATTTCCCATTGAGCCATCCATTAAGAAGCCAATATTTACCAGCAGTACAATGGCTGACATATCAGTTATTTCTTTTTGCAAGGATACAGAAATGTTGCAGTATCTCAGTTACAGCAATGTGTAGCTGACATAGCAAAAATAAATACAAAGTTTAAAAGAAATAATTAAGCAATAAAATTCTAGTTTTCTTTACCACAGTAATAATCTTTTCTCCCCCTTGAGATACTTTTAACATGGTATTGGTCAGTGGGGATGGTGGATCAATCTTATACCACAATTCAGAAAAATACCCAGGCATGTGCTTAACATGTGAGTATCATCCCATTGATGTCAATAAACAGTAAATTACACCACATCAAATACTTGTGTATGATTATAGATTTAGGAATGGCCAGGCAATCAATAGATCTCATTAGCTAATAGATCCAACTCCATCAAGTAACTTTTTAACCAAATCTTCATGAAATGCAATACAAAAACAATCAGGAGTTTCTTACCTTCCAGATTTGGCAATGAGAAGTTGGTGCTGACATTGTTAATGATCCTGCAGGTCTTAATTTGACGGCCACAAGGCTCGTAGTGCCACTTGCACTCATTATAATGGTTGTAGTAATCACAAAATATTGCTGATAGAAAACAGAAGCTGATAAAAAAAACAGCTGACAGAACAGAATCCCATTCCCACCTCTAACCATACCAGCCAAATGACCCTACACAGTGCACTGGCAACAATATTTCCCTTGACACATGGGACCCGGAATTTTTTTTCCCTACTCAACCTGAATACAGAACACATGAAACTCTGGATTTCATCACCTTCACATTTAACACCACTGTTGCAGAAAACAAATGTTTGATTGAAATCACACAACTACTCAGAATCAATTTTGAATTCAAGCTGTCTGTTGAAGTGTTGTGATTTTTTTTTTTACTTCTCTGGACATCTGCAAACTCTTAGGGCTAATGGTGCGTATAGGCTGAAATCAGTTTCACCTAGATATATCATATGCAGTAGTCACATGGTGTTCCTCCAGTAAACCCACATGGACATGCACAAACTCTTCAAACCTGAACCTTGTTTATGGGTGCATAACAAGATGTGAATGGGGGAAAGCTTAACACATTCAAAACCAAATTCCTCAAACCATATGGCCTATGAACCAGTGTGAATTGCCATATGGCTACAGAATAAAATTTGCAAGCTTTCTGAGATGGGAAGTGATGCACTGTGTGTAAGAACAAGTCTCCACTGTGAAAAGCTTAGTTACTGCTTCCACTGGTTGGATCGGTGGAAGTGTTTCCCGTAACTCATTTAGTGTGATCACCATCCCAACTTGACTTTTGGTGTCAGTAGCTATAAGCAAGAGGCACATACAACAGCCTAAAATGAAGTCAATAGGGTTGTATGAATATAACTTAAACACAGTTTGGCCTAGTGGGACTAATCACAGGCTACTGTGCTATACACAAAATGTAAAAAAAAATACTAGTAACAATTCTAGGTGGGAGATTTTGCTGACTAAATAAATATGCTGGGAATGTCAGTCCACCAGTTGGCACACAGAATGAAGAGGATCATTTGAAATGTCATTTAAGGGTCAACCCCCAGTGACAATTTAAATACACTGAACTCATTAAAACAATAATCGGCATCTGCTTATACAGAGATGGTGAACCCTTTCCACTATGTGCCATAGCATACAACTCTGTGTCAACACACTGCTGCAGTGATTAAAAACTTTGTGATCTCATTCTGATAGGTATAGTTGTACTCAGTGGGGAATATTTAAAGGTTACTCACGGCATATATCAGGAGTTCTCCAGAAGACACAAACTCCAGTCTTATTGCACTCATGGGCATAAGCAGCAACTGCAGAACAGAAGCACTCACAGTCTCCACCACTGTCACAGGAACAGGCATCATGAACACAATTTTCATAGAATGGAGTTGAGTCCACCTGTTGGGGAAACACATGGGGCAGCTGTTAACACCAGAGCTCTGTTTCCAATTGGGAATCTCAGATGGAAATCCTTTATACCAGAAGTTGCTTACTGTCTATCAGGTAGCAGATCTGAGCTAGGTTAATTTCCATTAATTTATCTTAATTTCTTCAAATGTGGTTATGGAAAAAAAGGTAACTAAAAGAAGTGTCTTGTGCATTGACCATATCTTCTAATGTGCATCATTTTAGCTTAATGACAAAAAAAATATTACTCTCAGCACAGGACCACTGTACCAATGTCAAAGCAAAATTTTATTCTATTCTGCGTCCTGCATTATCAACACAATTATCAGCTAAGTTCTGAATCCAGACTCGTTATCAATAAATACGATGCACAAAGTAGAAAGAAACACTATTGAATTAACAAAGCTGGTTATTAGAAAAACTGTGGTTTGACTGGCAAACTAAACTATTTGGACATGGAAGTTGCTGATGGAGAATAAAAATAAGACAATTAGAAGTCATTTTTACAACTTCTCTTCTAACCATAACCACATTCTGAAAATAATTTTGTTAAGCCTCCCTTCTGACCCTATCTGCTATTAGGATAGTATACTTCAGCTTTCAAAAAAAAAATAATCCCTGCACTTAAATTATCCTCCTTTTACAAGTGTCTAGCTTGGACTCTCTTCAGGGTGCCATAAGAACCTCACTCAGGTTCTCTTCTTCTTCTTCTTCAGAGTGAATTAATCTGCTGACTGTTTCAACTTCTCCAATCTACTGTACTTTATGGCTGCTGATACTACTGCTGATCTAAAAGAAAATTTGATTGAAGTCAATGAAATTTTCTTTTCAGTTAGTGTACCAGCCAGGTGGTGTACATCTGCCAGACATACTATCTGGTAGCAGAAACAGTTCTATACCTGTCTAGTGTTGGTGATTCCTGTCATACATTAGCAAATGCTTTTTTTCCATTTTGGCTGATCAGAGGGAGAACCCAGCCTGGGTTTTATGTCCCCAGAACAGCAGGAATTACAACTCTTTGTGATTCTTCCTATACTTACAATGTGTGTGAAGCACTTTGAAAAACTCTGGTAAGTGCAAACTGTTATTATTATTAAATTATTATTACACTTCAATTGAGGGACAAGGCTTAGATAAATTACATAACACTATGTATACCTTGATCCTAGATAACTGTATTTTGTTATTATGATTTGGATGCAATTTAATATGAGAGAAGGTGATATAAGCATGCTTAAACTATGAGCTGATTGATACCAATTATCACTTAAAACAAGGAGAATGCAGTGCAACAGATGGAAACATCTAAAGTCTGTCCACAGTCAGAACCACTATCTGTGATTGGAGAGGGGAGGATCCATAAAAACCCAGTGATATACTGGATAGGGAACCCAGTCTGCACACTAGAAAGGAACCTGCATTCTATATGTAAACAGAGTGTTACTTCTGTGTGGCTCACAAACAATACCATGGCAGGGAATTTCTCCCAAACTAGAACAAGTGGATGCTTCAGTTCAATGTATGAAAACATACCAAATCCCTGGTTTGACTATCCCAAGGAATAGCAGATGCCTGAACATCTAACTTTCAAGTGTAGCATCTGTTCTTATCAGGGGGATGGACTTGATGATCTCAAAAGGTCTTTTCTAGTTTTTAAACTTCTGAGGCTACTATGATTAACTATTCTCTCACTCAGCTGTGCAAATTCAGCCTTCCTCTGTCTTCTTGCACAGAGGTTCACTTGTAGGTAGTAACCACCAGCCTCTCTACTAACCTTGGCGTGACAATCTTTAAAGACTTCGCTCCGGATGATGCTGCACTCCTTCTCTGCCCAGGACTTGCGGTGCGGTTTCAGATTGCAGGGCAGAATCTCATCCACCACATCAGGGCAGGAGCTATGTTTCCAAGAATTACCAAACTCCAGAGGATTGGTCACCAGCAGCCCACTACTTGTTTTGAAATCATTGTTGGACATGTCATCAAAGTTGCCACACAAACCACAGACTTTGCCCTGAAAAAGCAAAAGATATTTGATTTCAGAACATGTCATCAGATTTTTAGTTTACCCAGTAAGTGAGCACAAGTAGAGTTAGAACCAAAACAAAGACACAAAGTGAGGGAACGATTTCTCCCTGTAACTTACTTATTTTCATCCTTACTTTAAAATCATGTGTATAAGTTAAACTTATTTTTATGTGTTTATCTCCCTGGTTAACAAGCTACCAGGTAGCCCAGGCAAGGAACCTGTGTCTTCCTTTCTTGCTACATACAGTATCTAGTAACTATATCAGGGGTGGGCAAACTTTTTGGCCCGAGGGCCACATTGAGGTTGCAAAACTGTATGGAGGGCCAGGTAGGGAAGGCTGTGCCTCCCCAAACAGCCTGGCCCCCGACTCTTATCTGACCCCTCCCACTTCCCGCCCCCTGACTGCCCCCCTCAGAACTCCCGACCCATCCAACCCCCCCCTGCTCCTTGTCCCCTAACTGCCTCCCAGGGATCCCCCATCCCTAACTGCCCCCGGGACCCCACCCCCTATCCAATCCCCCTGTTCCCCACCCCCTGACAGGCCCCCGGGACTCCCACACTTATCCAACCCTCCCTGTCCCCTGACCGCCCCCCAGAACCTTTGCCCTATCCAACTGCCCCCTGCTCCCTGTCCCCTGACTGCCCCCTGGGACCTCCCTGCCTCTTATCCAACCACCCAGCCCCGGCCCCCTCACCATGCCGTTCAGAGCAGCATGTCTGGCAGCCGCGCTGCCCGGTCAGAGCCAGACACGCTGCTGTGCTGCTCGGCAGGAGCGAGCAACCCTGCAGCCCAGAGCGCTGCCCGCGTGGCGGCGTGACTGCGGGGGATGGTGTCAGCAGGGAAGGGGCTGGGGGCCAGTCTCCCCAGCTGGGAGCTCAAGGGCCAGGCAGGACAGTCCCATGGGCCGCAGGTGGCCCGCGGGCCGTAGTTTGCCCACCTCTGAACTATATCTATATTTCTTTGCAGCCTCCCATTCAATTTATAAGGATTCAAACAGTGGCTACACTTCTCTCACCTGATAACAAGCCATCTCTTTACAGTACATTGTGGTATGCAGCAAATTAGCTGCATGAGTCCTATTATATAAATAGGAGTCACATGACTAAATTTTCCAGTACACAATGCACTGAAATTTTAGCCCTAAGTCTATTAAACGTTAACTTTGAAGAGTTGGCTAATCATCTTTAAGGCAGATTTCCATCACTTGCAAATAGTAAGATGGAATAAGGAAGAAATAAAGCTTCCTTGAATAAAACTTAAAAGCTAGTACAGTGGCTTCAATGGGTTTTGGTTGGCTGGCATCCTTCTAGTCAAAGATGTGGCTGCAATAAAAACTAGTAATCTTTTGCCTCACTTTTGCTCCTCCCTCCATTTTTTTAACCCTGCTCAAGCTACTTCAAGATTTCCAGCAAAGGGTCATGAAAACATTTACCCGCTTAGGAAAACAAATAAAGAAGTGTCATAAATGGACACAAGTATGGGGTCATAAACTGTGTGCACAGCCCCTAATGTGCTACAAAAGGCTGCTGGAGTCCCTTGCTAAACAAGTCAAATGTTTTATAAGGGAAGATGTTCAGGTTGGAAGCGTTTCATCAATGAAGAACTTTTAGTTTCTTTTCAGACAGGTCCCTTACACAGAGGCTGTGAGATGTTGCCACACTTCGCACTGCTTGAACCACAACTGCATTTCCCCAAGGTAAAATATGTAAAATATGTTGCATTATTATTTGAGAGCTGGGGTTAGTCTGTGACAATCTTGTAAATTTTTGTTCGGTCTTCTATTGGGGAATTACAATGTTTTAGCCATTTCTTTGGTATTAAGGGTCATACATATATAAAATACACACATACACTATATTATTATATATAATGAATAAATTGTGATTTAATAGTGAAATGCCTCCAAATAAAAGTTGGCCTCTACCACTGCTTGAGCGATTAAGCCTAGCAATATAGCTCACAATATGTTTACAGATCGTCTGGAAAATAGGGCCCCTGTTCTGTTTTTCACTTACTTTACAATATAGAGCAAAGTTTTGGTCCATAATGATGAGAAAATGATATCTGGGATCCCAAGAGTTTATTCTTTTGGGGCCTGATCCAAAAAATGCATAACAGTCAACAAGAATATTTTAATGAACTTCAGCGGGATTTGTATTAGAGCATTAATGTTTACACCTACTGGAAAACCACAGAGGACTGCTCATCCATATTGCAATAGTACACAATACACCCACCAGTATTGTTGCACTGGATCATACCATAAGAAGCAACATACAATGGCACCCGCCATCAAGGATAATGCAAGATATATATGAATCATCAACTTAAACAAGATTTAGGGACACTATTAAGAGTAACAATAAAACATCATCCATATTTACTTACATTCAACTATTCATGATCACATCAGCAGATTCCATAATATTTTAGAAAAAAGACCTGGAGTTGCTCACCTTATAATAAGGAACCAGACTTATGAAAATAGTAGTCTTCTTATCCCAGATGAGCCTCACGCCATTGCTGGCTTCAATAACAAGATAGAGCCCCACTGCACGACTCCAATATTGTATATCTTTGTCAACAGCTAGCTGAATTGCTTCATATTTCTTGTCCTCCAACTTCAGTTCAGTTCCCTGAAGGACAGAAAGAGAAGGGATATAACAGCACTGGTTTTATAGTGAGGCAAGCTCTTGGAATGATGATGCTGATGGACTTCATTGTGAAGACTGCCAAACCACTGCCTAAATCCTTAGCAAGTGGAAATCACCTAGTTCCATTACTTTAATGGAGCTATGCCAACTTTCAGTTTCGAGGAACATGACTACAAGCAAAGGGCAGTTTTGATCAATTACATTCTAGGGCTGAACCCATCCAGGGCCACCACTCACCCCTAGAAATATTTTAATAGCCTTTGAGCAGGTGACTCCGGTGGTTCCACATGGAACATTCACTGTGACGATCCTAAACGAAGCATTGTGATTCTCACCACAATAATCCTGTTGAGAGTGGAATAAAGAAACATAAGTCAGTGAAAGGAACCATATTATTTATTTTGATTTCAATCTAAAATAATTTAAATTTATTCTTCAAATTCCATTACACACACACACACACACACACACACACACACACACACACACACGTCGCCTATTTAACTCTATTACGTTTAACCAAATACGTAGGGAAAGAAGTAGGAACTAATTAG